CACTACACGCCTAGACGGAAGAAAGGATTCCACTAAATATCAGCAAATTCTGGAAGCAAATGTGACACAGTCAGCCAAAGAACTGGAACGGAAAGGAGGCTGGCTTTTACTACCGTACAATGATCCAAAACATACCTTAAAATCCATCACGAAATATTTTAAGGAAACCAAACTGAAGCTTTTGGAATAGCCCTCTCCGTCCCCTGACTCGAATATCATTGAAATCTGTGGGTAGACCTCAAAATGCCATGCATGCAAGATAGCCCAAGAAGGAAGAGTGGGTAAAAAAAATTCCTAAAACAAGAATAGAAAGACTAGCTGGCTACAAAAAAGCATTTGCAAGCTGTGATATTTGGCAAAGGGGTCATAATAACTACTGATAGTAAGGTGTCCAAACTTTTGGACACCTTACTCTACACTGAAACATGTCCAAAGATCCAAATTATCAATGCTGTGATGTTTTTCCTGTACACAAATCAGCTAGACCTGACTGGTACACTGCAGAAAACCTGGCAGGTGCTTTTGTTTCTCCATGTCATCTATCAATACCTTTGCACTTGTACTTTGAGCTGCTCTAAAGCAGGTAACTCCCATTATTCCCTAAACACAGAACATATTAATTCTCTAAAATAATGACCTCAGCACAATATTAGTCACTTTACATTTTCATCATAGTAAGAGTTACACATAGTCCACCGTGGACATATGTCTTCTTTGTGTGTTTATTCTCACCATTTCAGTGAAAAATACTGGATAAAATGGAGATTAGGAAAGCTGCCCAAGACCCCACAACTGCGAAGAATAACAGTGACTTAAGTGAGAGCCTCAATATTATTGTAGGCTCTGCTTGTTTCTCTACACCTCCAGGCGTTCACCCTGTGACCTTGGAGAAATGGTCCTTTTGAGCGGCTGTAATGGAGTACATATTTTTAAAAGCCTGTCCACAAGCAGCACGGCTTACTGGCTCAAAAACACCATTCACCTCCCGCTTTCTGTAAACTTTGCCTGAAATATCCAGCAGGTTTAATCTGAAACACTCCATGATGTCTGGTTATTAGCTGTGAATGATAAAAACATGATAAAATTACTAGAACTTAAGGACATCAATGCTTTGATTTAGAATTTCCATTTAATATTAGAAAAAGGCCACATATAAATTTGGAGATTGGATCACAGCAACGCTTTGGGACAAACTGACGACTTTCTAAAACATCTTTTATCCAGATATGATAATGATGATAATGTGCTGTCTCGGCGCTGCACTGTCCTGTCTATTTACTGTGTCTAATGTCTGTTTTACTTATTGTATTTATTGTATTGTTTCTAGTTTAATGTTTGCACGCTTACACCTGCACGTTTGCACTTTGTCTGTATTATTTTGTTCCATGTGGCACCACGTTGGTCCTGGAGGAATGTAATTTCGCTCCACTGTGTACTCATACATAGATGGATTGAATATAAAAGCCTCTTGACTTGACTTGACGTTAGAGAGTTTTCCATCTTGAGACAAAGCTTCCAACAGAATTTAACAATTTTAAAAACTGTTTTTCAATAAAACCGGAAGGATAAGCAGCTTAGAGAATGTGTGTTTTTAATAACTTTTATAAAAGTTTCTAATAGGAATCATATTAAAAAACTGCAATAACCTTTCACAAATGTCATACATCCTTAAAAACAAAGATGCCATAAAGGGTTCTTTTCACATGATGCCACTGAACCACTTTTGGTTCCCCAAAGAACCTCTCAGTGAATGGCTCTTCAGAGAACCAATTTTGCAAATGAGATGTGTGAGTGTGAAGAACATTTTTAAAGTATAACACGTAGTGTGAATGTTCTGGGAAGAACCATTAAATTACAGAACCTTTATGTTAAGTGAAGGTTCTTTAAACTATTAAAAGGTTCGTCAAGCTCACACATCCCCTTTTGAAACATTATTCTTTAATTGTTGGTTAAAATGTTTTTTTATGGCAGGAAACTTCCAGGCCAAAGTGCTGCAGAGATCAGCGTTTACCCTCATCTAATGCTCTGAATTCAGTTCATGAAGGTCTTGCTAATTAGCCGATGAGCTGAATCAGGTGTGTTTCATGAGGCTGTGTGCTGAAGTCTGCTGTGTTTTGGCCCACGAGGACTGGAGCCTGACACGTGTTCTATCGCATCGCTCAAAGAACTCAGACATTGCTTGCATGAATTTGTCATCCCTCATCTGAGCTATGTGTGAAAAAGCAGTCATTTAAAATGACAGAACTAACACAGTTGATAACACCCCTGCATCCCCCTCAAATGGAGCCCTAAAACTAGAAGTGTCTGTCACTTTTGGATATCTTTTAGCATTGAATGATTCTACCACTTTCATAAATGCAGTTATTTGCTTTCATTTGACAATTTTTCGATAAAAACATATAGTAAGCATGATTTTCTCCTTTTTTTTGCTGTCACAGAGCTGCTCAAGCGACAGACTCAGGAGATCTTTTGTGCCCAGAGCCATCAGGCTCTTCAACTCTTCCCAGTGGGGCCAGAAGTGAAGAGAGAAGAGGGAAGAGGAGAGATGAGGACTGAATCTCTTATGCTAAATTACAGGTTTATTTTATCTGTCTGCACATCTGGACACCTTACTGTACATATTGCACTTCTGCACACCTTATCGCACATCTAGTCACCTAGTCACTTCATTTCAGTACTAATAAATGCATATATTTATTCAGTATTGTCATTATATGCTGTTACCTGGGCCTCCTTGTACATCCATTATTGCACTGCCTTTTTATATCTCAGAATAGATCTTACTGCATAATTTTGTATATCCCTATTTGTATTTATGCCTGTAGATAGTTTTTTTTGTATATATTCCTCTTTTTATATTGTATCACCCTTATTATTATAACTGCCCTGGGTTGTGTAACTGCTACTGCCTGCTAAATTTCCTTCGGGATCAATAAAGTTATCTATTAAAAGTGTTGGCTCAAATGTCCTCTTAGCTCTTGCCTCTTCCTTCATGAAACTGTCTGTTTCTTCATACAAATTTGCTGCACTTCAGCCTCTGGGTTTCACTTTTTGAAACGATTCTAATTATTGTTGTTGTTTTTATTGTTATTATTATTAATGTTTTCTTTGACATGAAAAGACAGTGTTTCCTGTCCAGCAGTGCTCTCAGGGGTGCAGCTCAAGGACTAGGCCTTGAAGTGCCACGGCTCCATCTGCCACATCCTGAGGTCAGAAAACACACGACAGAGCATCCCGCTCACCGGAAGGAAACAGAACCATGTCACTCGCCGCCAAGCACTGCCAAGAACCAGATATACCTGACTGATCGTCTGTCCCCTGCTGTTTCCAGGACGTTCACTTGATTTTTGTCTGCCTCATCAAGTCAGGTGGCCCGTGTAATGAAAGCAGTCTCCTAACAATGAGCTGACATCCAAATTGAAAATTGGAAACCAATAGTGAACTTTGGGCCTTATGTTGTGCCAAAATTGCTTTTAGTCTAGTTTCGATCTAACAGGTAGCAAATGAAAATATTGATTTGCCTGAGATGTGATTTGGCAGGTCTCAGACTCAAAAGTATTAGACGGATGACAAAGAAACTTAAATAGCAGTAACGAACGCCTCTGTCCCTTCAGAGGCCGAGTTTGTCCACCAGCCGATGGAATTTCGAATGATTCTGAGCCCTGAGTTTGACACAAAATGCTGCTCTCGGTGACAGACTACCCCATTTTCAGACCTCGCTGCTTTCAATTCGTCGTTTACGCAAAGAAGCGAACAATCATTTGCACTCCATGTACTCGCACACCTAATCTCCAGCCAAGCTGAAAGAAAAACACTACTGAACAAGTCCAACTTCAGCAATTAAGTCACTGGGCGCATAAGCTCTGTGTCAAATGAATCTGACAAAAGGCAGAGTAGTGGAATGTTAATGGGCTGTTTAAATCCTCACTCCTCTCCGTGTTTAAAGGCAGGCAGCCTGACCCCTGGGGAAGCAGCACAGTCGCCCGAGCTTGCGACACCCGCCAAAAAGGCAGGGGCTGTGCCACATCCTGTCCGACGCACCCCCCCAGGAGGACAGTAAAGCAGTTTGGGGGCACAAGGCCCACCATTCTGTTTGTGTGACCCCTCGCAGGGAGCAAGAGGAAAGAGGATGTTGAGGCACTTGCCTGCTCACACAGATAACACCGCTTTATCCTTGCCATTTTGGGCATCCGGGATGCCACCCCCCAGGTGGACACCCTCCAAATCATGTCTCGTCTGTAAAACTGAGGGAAAACAGAGTAAGATGTTTTTGATAAGTGCTGATTTATACTGTTGTTGCACAATTTGGCTTTGTGCTCATCTTCCGCATTCACAGGCAAGCAGTATTAGACTACAGTTACAATTAGTTTTTGCACACATTTGCACTGTTAATGATATTTCTGATTTAAAAAAAAAAGTTTTAAATAAGTCATGTCGATTGCTTCTTCATATAATGTAGTAACATTTCAGAAATTTGAACGTGGCACTTTTAGATGGGTCTCTTAAGTGATGCATTTCAATTTTAAATAGCTTAGTATGTTTCAAAGAAAACATTGGATCGGTACCCTCAATGTTTCAGTATCAGGTTCTGGAAAGATAAAAGGTATTGAGCCATCTTTAAAACATTGAAGTGACTCATTGTCTCTCTTATTGCACCAGTGTGGGTGGGGAGAGTGCCTGTTGTTTTTTTGTCAGTTAGGGAGGAAGGAGAGCAGGGAGTAAATCACCACTGACCATCTTCCTGTCATCTCACAGAGCTCGGACACAGCGACAGACAGGACGGCGTGATCTGCATTCAAATGACTACATTCCGGAGAAAACGCCCATCAGCTGAACAGTGAGCGTGACAGGCGTGAATGCTAGGGACGTGCCATCTTGACTAATGAGAAATTTTTACGGGAATTATATATATATATATATATATATATATATATATATATATATATATATTCTAGTTTCATATCTGACACAAACACAAAAAAGGAACTGTAACAGCAAGATGGAGCATTTTGACATTCATATTTATTATTGATTTTTGCTACTTACATGGAATGCTATGGTAATACAGAATGTCATCCAGCATAGATGTTTCAGATCAGTTATAGTCTTGCGGAGTGCCTTTTAGAAATCAACATGTATGTACAATTTATTTACAGCTCCTACAGCATTTCTGATTCTTTTCAGCATTGCTTGATTCCAAGAGAAACATGCTCGAGAGCAGGTGCGAATAAAATCTCATATATATAAAAAAACTTTTGTTGTTGTTTTCACCGAGACAAAATTTTAGCTCAGGGTCATGTTGGCTGTGCAATGTGGAACGCTTCGCAATAACACTTCACTTCATCAATGTCAATTATCTGAGCAAAATCTTGTCTTTGGGCATCTGCTCTCATCTGGTAGGAAAACAGGATGAGAGTAAATAACTGATCTTTTTTCATATGTGTGTTTTCAGAGTAGACCGTGTACATAAAATGTTGACTAAGCAGTAATAACATGCGAACGACAGCCATTTGGACTGTTACTAAATTATGACAAGCTTTTTAAAATGAAGAAAGCCGAGTGTGATGTCTTCTCTATGTCTGCCTACAGGTCCTTACAAGGCACAGGGAGTGCAATAACTGTGTAATGTGATATAAATCAAATTCGCATACTTAGACTGAAGGCACAGACTTGGGCTATGTTCACATTACATGGTTGAAGTGGCACAAATCTGATTTTTTGCCTAAATGCAACACAGATCTATTTTTTTGAGCGTTTCAAAACAAATATAAGCCATTTCTATCTTTGACCCTGCACACTACTGAGGTCTATTGTTTCCAGCAAGTCGGCAGAGGCTAACCTGATGGTTTCAGGACCATATGTTTACAGATATGACAGCTATGGTTCACTTTCACACACAAATGTGAACGGCCAAGGCACATTAAATAATATTAACCAAGAAGGCTGTTTGACTTACAAAACTAAAAATATGCAGGCATTAATTGCAACCGTGCTTTATGTTGAGGCCTGTTTATCGCTGTTGTTGGAAGAAAAACTTGTATCTCCAAAATGGTAACTTTACTAAAGTAATTTAGGGTGATTTCTTTTGGTCCATTCGTCATGAAATTTACACACAATGTAAAGAGCAACAGGCATTTTCAAATTATGTCAAAAACTGAAAAACGACAAAAACAGAGATATGCTTGACACTAGAGCTGGTCGATATGGCTAAAAATGTTATCACGATAAACAAAATTCATATCGTGCGATATCGATACATATCGCGATAAATGTCAAATCATTATTTCTTTTAAGTTTGAAGGCTGGTTTTTGCTCCTGAGTGGTTAACTGCTGTTTTAAACTATCCTTTACGGTCAAAGTGTCTGGTGAGATTATTTTTAGCTGTCTGGTAACGAACGCTCGGCTATCCCGTTACAAATGCTGAACAAGTGTCCAACAACAGTGCTAAACTGTTTAGTTTCTCAACAACGTCAGCTTAGTACGAAGAACAAACATTAGCTGGCTTGGTACGTCAATGACGGATAACACCGCCTTACTGCCATCACTCCTACCACACGGAGTGACGGAGCGCTGCTTAAAGTTAGCCAGCTGATAAAAACAGATAGCCTGGGAAGATAGCGCTCTCACACTCTCCAATGCCTCACAGCTTCCTCAGTTTACTTTCGTTTGAATCAGGGCTGAAACTCACATGAACCCACTTCTTTCTTTCACTTTCCTTGCTTGGGAACGCACTAATACTAAAATATGACTGAGCGCTGAAAGAAGTGAGTTCGCTGTAGGACAGTATAGTTATGCCACTGACCTCGTCACTCACACTCGGTCACAGGAGAACAGATCGCCAATCGCTCCACTCAAACAGGGAATATATAACTCCACGTTTCAGATGTTGCTAAAGTATATTTGGCGACTCATTTTGCTCATTGCCCCCTCTCTCTTTAATCATGTCGAAAAAATTGAAAGTGCGCCCTCTCGCAGCGACAGCAGGGTAGTGTCGCTTTCCTTGAAGTAGAAAACACCACCAGGGCTTTCGCTAGAACATGGAAGTGTGAGAATGGTGCACTATACTGAAAATTGATCAAACATTTCTTCTATCTATTGTTCTATTGAGAAAAGTTATATCGCGATAATTATCGTTATCGTTTTATCGCCCAGCCCTACTTGGCACTATATGATTGAGTGGAAATGTGCAGCATAATTAAGCTGACGATGATTGATGATTTATTTTTCAGATCTGAGCAAATAAGGCTTATAGTGTGAACGTAGCCTTCCTGAAATACTGCAGCTCATCAGCTTGCAGGCCTTTTTAGAGAGAATAGTTGGGAAAATGGAGGAGGCGTATAGGCTGGGGTTGCTGGCCAGGCTCGCTAAGGCAAGTACTGAAGAATGGGAAAGCCTTTTCTTTCGGCCCGTTGGAGAAAGAGCAGAGCAGGCGCATGTCATTTGCATTGTAGAAGGAAACCATATGCACCTCAAAGTCTATAAAAATCCCGATTCTCTGTGGCTGGGAGGTTATGGGCAGCGGGGTCCAGGGCTGGGTCCCTGCTGAGTAATTGCAGCCGTTACGCAGGCGGAGGGTCCAGTAACCGTTCTCAGGGCACAGCTTGACACGGGCCTGCCGATCAACCGTTTCTAGGGCGACACCCAAGTCCCATTTGGGCTTGGTGCCAACACCCACCTCCCAGTAATGCCTGCCTGTTTGGAAGCCTTGGGTCGCAAGTACGTTAACACACTGGACAAAACGCTTTGGGTTGCATCTGTAAGTGAGCATGGCTTCATTCTCAACCACTTGGGTTCGGTCTCGAGAGAGCTGAAGACTTGGATGGACTGTGTCCTCATCGAAGGTCAAAGGTAGTGGGCCTGTGGATGAAAACCAGAACTGAAAATGATAAACCAATAATAAAACATTATTATGATCATAAAGATTGAAATACGTAGCTTCAGTAAAGATTTACCACAGTAATTACCTGGTCTTAAACTCTTAAACATCTTTCTCCACACGGTGTACTGAAGAGGAACTATATATTTACTGCGAAATCCATCAATATCCAGTCTTTTGGTGACTTGTAACTGTGGTCTGAAACAGAAACAAATCAGAAAAATCACAGTTCATGTATAAACAGTCATGTTAACCTTCTACTGCATGCATTATGAGAGCAATTAAAAATTAGATTCACCTTTCTTGCATAAAATCGACCTGATTAATGAATTCAAAAACATTTTTAAAAATAATAACGTGTGCAGGGGTCCTTTTGTGGTATGTTGCCCTGAGGCAACATTGTGCGACAATGGGAAGGCATGATATAGACCCGTGTTCCCTGAAGTGGTGAGATCTGGCTATGTAACTGTCTAAATCCATTCCACTGCTGCTTCTAGGCAACAAACATACTTCTGCAAATTCTTGTAACAAAAAAAATGATACTGAATGTTAAAAAAGAAGTTTAAAAGTGTCCACTTAGAGACAGTATGACCAAGTACATGCTTTTTATTGACTTATTCAACTTTATTGTTAACTCTGTCATTGTTGTTAAGTATCGTTGCTGTCCAAAGAAAAACAAGTATCTCCAAAATTTTACAGGAGATGGCAAAAACTTTCTTTACTTTCAATATGAGTTAATGAAAAGAGATTTTGTTCTAAGCACTTCTGGAGCATTTTTATTGGTCCAATCAGCTTGAAATTTTCGCACAATGTAAAGGACAGCTGCTGAGCTCAAATGATGCAGAGAAGTAAAAATCACAAAACAAGGAGATACGTGGTTTTCACTGGACAGCAACAATATGTATAAAGTTAGTGTAAAGTGAGGAAAAAGGGGTTTGTTGCCTAGAGGCAACGTCATGTAATAGAGGGTTAATGTATAAGAAAAAGTATACTAAAAGGAATAAAAGGCTTAGCACCAAGCCCAACATTTGGAACAGCCTTGTTTAAGAAGGAAACAGAATGTGCAAGCACTTCAAGGGGATCTAATCTGAAAGTAGCTTTAGGAACGAGACAGACCACATCACTATGAGAGGTGTAATAGACTTCAATTACCACTGACCTGGAATTGAATTCTGGCAGCTGAAAGGAGAGAGAGAAAGAAAACATTATCAAGATGAAGGATATATTTCAGAGACTCCATAAAAGAGGAATTCTGGACTAGGGGGACCGTTGCCGAGGCACTACTCCATCTGTTAGCCAGCACTGAAGCAGATGCTCTGATCTGTGTAGTACTCAAATCAATAGGTCTGCTACTGTGTGAAATGCAAATTAGATGATGGCAGCCGCCGCACATTACTAATATTTCATTCCTACCTTTACCCCAACAGTATTTTCTGTAAGCATAAACATGAATTTTCAAAATGTTGCCTCCACAGAAAATGGAGGTGGAAGAAAAATTACAACTGTGTTAAAAAGGGGGGGACAAAGCCAGGTCTGCAAGAGCGGCAGATACCCAGTCAGCACACCCCAGCATCAATAATGGAAATGGCTTGTCACCTCCAACAGTGCACTGCAGCTCACAGAGCTGGCAGCCTGCTGGATCGAGTTCACGTTCTGCTCCAGCTCCCGGACAGCTGCATGCAGGGACTCCAGGTGGCGCTCCAGGCCCTGCTCCAGCACCTCCTGATCCCTCCGGAGTTGCTCCAGCACAGCCGCCTCCTCTACCTGCAGGAAGTGGTGCAGGGCCTGGAAGTCGCTACGCACGCGGTCCTGGAGCTCAGCTCCTACTTTCTGTAAAAGACAGAGTGGGATTGACTTCAGTAGGAGATACACTGCATGCGGAAGTTTCTCCTTCTAGACTTCACCTACTTTTATTGTGTCCATCTGCTTCTCTTCCTCCCGGATCATGGTGATTATTTCTTCTTTCCGCTGCTTCTGGGAGTCCAAGCGGTCTTTGAGCCTCTTCTGGAAAAAAACGACATTAATAACCATGTAAATATTCCTTTGATTACTACACTAATATATTACTACAGTGTATATTACATGGCATTATATTACAACAACAGAATAATTTCAGGTTGACTAACAGAGTTGCTTGATATTTGCTGCCAATAGTTACACTTAACATACACCGATCAGGCGTAACATTATGACCACCTCCTTGTTTCTACGCTCATTGTCCATTTTATCAGCTCCACTTACTATATAGGTGCACTTTGTAGTTCTACAGTTACAGACTGTAGTCCATCTGTTTCTCTGCATACTTTGTTAGCCCCCTTTTACCCTGTTCTTCAGTGGTCAGGACCCCCATGGACCCTCACAGAGCAGGTACTACTTGGGTGGTGGATCATTCTCAGCACTGCAGTAACATTGATGTGGTGGTGGTGTGTTAGTGTGTGTTGTGCTGGTACGAGTGTATCAGACAAAGCAGTGCTGCTGGAGTTTTTAAATACTGTGTCCACTCACTGTCCACTCTATTAGACACTCCTACCTTGTCAGTCCACCTTGTAGATGTAAAGTCAGAGACGATAGCTCATCTTCTGCTGCACAGTTTGTGTTGGTCATCCTCTAGTCCTTCATCAGTGGTCACAGGACGCTGCCCACAGGACACTGTTGGCTGGATATTTTTGGTTGGTGGACTATTCTCAGTCCAGCAGTGACACTGAGGTGTTTAAAAAACTCACACTAACACACCACCACCATGTCAGTGTTACTGCAGTGTTGAGAATGATCCACCACCCAAACAGTACCTGCTCTGTGAGGGTCCATGGCGGTCCTGACCACTGAAGAACAGGGTAAAAGGGGGCTAACAAAGTATGCAGAGGAACAGATGGACTACAGTCTGTAACTGTAGAACTACAAAGTGCACCTATATAGTAAGTGGAGCTGATAAAGTGGACAATGAGCGTAGAAACAAGGAGGTGGTCATAATGTTATGCCTGATCATTGTACATTTATCTGTTATATCTATATCTATTTATCTCTATCCATATAATACTTTCTACATTCAACACTGGCAATATTACTGGTAGTATTACATGAAACAAAGCAGACAGTCTAACTTTGATTTATTTTGTCTCTTATAAAGTTACACTGATGAGAGAACTGGCAACAACAAAAAAGTTAATAATACAAGCCAGAATCAATAAACAGATAACAAGTAAGCATTCTCCTAAAACGTCATGGGCATGTCATGTGCCTTGAATTGGTCTTGTGATAGTAACAAAATGCAGAGAAGGAAAGTTCCTGAATTTTTAGGGCAATCAGATTGTCACATAAAACTGCCGAGCACACAGCTGTATACAATATTCAAAACACAACAAAGAAAAATGTAATTAGGAAACTATAAGTCATTTTTGAAGTTCCATAATCAAGATGTACTATAATGACCTGACTTTTTGCCTCAAAGTACTATGATAAATGTACATTTTCTATTATTATTATTATTATTACTACTACTATATTATATATTATTTCTTAGATCAATGAATCAATAACTCAATTCATAAATAATACAATAAAACACCACTGAAAATACAAACCTCTGTTTTAATTCTAAGACCATGTAAGGATACAGACACTGAAAAACACTTGCCTGTAAACCAGTGATCCCAAACCATGGTTCTGGATTACTACTGCCTGTATATTTTGGTGTTTCCCTGCTGTACACTGTTAGAAATAAAGGTTCTGTGCAGGTACAAGGTACAAACAATGTAAATGTTCCTCAAAGGTACAACAGTGGTTTTAAGGTCTGATTGTGAACCTTAAATAAGTTTTTCCAGGTGAAAAGTTCGTATTTGTACCTTTTCATAACCAAATGTTTTGAAACAGAACAGTAAAATAAAAGCCTGGAGACGAGACGGGGTGTGTGGAGTCAGTACAGCTTAGAACATATCATTTCAGTGGATTATGGTTCAGTTATGTTCCCTGACTAAAGGTACTGAGATGCAGACCTTTATTTCTGAGAATGTAGTGCACCTGACCCAACAAGTCAACTAATTAACAAGCCCTTCCTGAGAAGCAAGGCAGGAGTAATCCAGGATCCAGTAAAAAAAACACAACTCCTCACCTCTAAACTTTTCAGATAACCGGCCGAAGAACTTGCTTTGACTTTTTCGACCAGGCCGGCCACAAGATAGTTGGTCTGGAAGTTTTTGCTGGGGAACTCCTGCCGGCACTGAGGACACAGCGCTGGGCCCCTGAGGCTCTTCCAGTAGGCAGTGATGCAGCGCTTACAGAAGTGGTGCATGCAGCCCAGCATCACTGGCTCAGTGAACAGGTCATAGCAGATGGCGCAGGTGAGGTCCTCCCGAAGGGTGGTCTTACCCACCGTGCTGCTGCTGCTGGACGCCATTGGGAAAGACTGGAACTCTTGACTTTCACTTCCACTTTTTGTCACTCCTTAGTCAGGCGGTATAAGGCGAACATCACAGTGTCAGCATTTTTGGAAATGTCATTTCTTAGCAAGCTATTTAAATCTTCCCCTATAACAACTGAACTGAACTGGAATAACTGAAAGCAGCTAAACTGTGGCACCACGCAGCTCCACTGAAAGCCAAAGGACTTTGGCCGAAAAGTAAACAAGCTTTAGCTGCGCTGTTTGTGCAAGTAAACACATTATCTAGCTGGCTTTCGAATATTTAGACTATATTATTAACTATATCCAAATAAACGAATCCTTTACAGGTTTCGAGAAGGAACAAACGGTGAATAAAATATTTAAAAGCTTGGTAAACTTGACAATGAGGACGCTAACCTTAGCAGCTCACAGCCAGACAGTCAGCAGCCCCTTCGATAGTAAACGTTACAGCGCTAAGCGGCTAAGCTAGGCTAGAGTAAAGCTATAAAGGTGAAAAAGGGAGATTTTGAAAAGAGAGTGTTATTATGAACAAACTACCCACCGTCGCCGGGTCCTGTCTGTGGCCTCTGGTCCGAAACACCTGAGTTCAAAATGCCATGACGGCTGAACGCCTCGTCGCTCTGCTGGAAAACCCGGAAGACCGACTGACTGAGCGCTTTCGGCTCGGCTGTTATGTAACGTTAACCGCTCACAGCGCTGCTCGGGAGAGAGACTCTCAGCCCGTCAGGCCACAAGAGAAACCGAAACAACAGGAGAAATCTGGGGGGAAAGTATGTGATTAAGATGAGCTATATAGCTCATATACATACATATATATGTATGCAAATCCAGTTGTATTCAAAAGTTTGGGCGCCCCAGTCAGATGGCATGTTTTTGTTGATTTTCTAAATTAAAATAAGGTATGTTACACTTAAAAACATGTTTGGGTTACAATTCATGTATATTTTAAAATAAAACAATAAGTTATTTTAACAATTACACCTTCTTGGGCCTCAATTTAGCAATATTGGTTTTTAAATCAATCATATAGAATTCCAAACACCACAGAAGAGCTCGTCCTCACGGTCATGTGTAAAGGCTGAGGCCATATTTGAAGAAGAAAAACGTTTTTCTGCAATTCTAACTACAATAATCTATACATGACTATGGAATATATACATTAAATGACATAAAGAAAACAAATGCCAAATAAATATTGAAAAATATACAATGAAAGTCGTGTCACTGGTGTTACTGCACAACAAAAAATCTCTTATTTTGAAGTAAAAGTCACACCGATGACATACCTTGACTTCTTTTTACCTGTTTTCTGAGGATCTATGAAGAAAAGCACATGGCGAGTCCACTGTGTCTTTCAGTTATCAGAGATTTTCTCATTTAGCTCATGATTTCATATGAAGCTTTTAGTTGACGTCACTGGTGTGACCGACTTTATTCTGAGGTAATTGTGAAAAAATAGAACACAAATGGATTAAATGACATATTTTAGTGGATATTCCATGATTGGCAACATGTGGGTTGATGCTCCGCAGCAGCCGTTTTGTAAAATGCATTTTTCATTAAAAATGTCTCTGGTGTTACCTTTATTATGTGGAACACCAATGAGGATCAGTAACACCAGTGACTCCTATGGAGAGATAGAAAAGTGGACGTTTCTCTAGAAATTCTTGTATAATTCAATCATTGAGATAAACAAAGTGTTTTGGTGTAAAAAATGGTTCATTGCAATAAAAAACTTACTGACTCAGATTTCTTTACAGTGGTGGTGACAGGACCCAGGGGTCACGACATATACAATGCTAATATAGCTACTTTATTACTATCCAAAATGATCAGTGAATCTACACCTGATTCTGAGTTTGATATGTAATATTGCTACTGGTAAAATAGTGGAAATAAATAGTGTACAGAAAAATGCCTTAAAAAGCCCTCGAATGGATTTAAAAAGAACATTGCAGACCAAAAAACAATCTCAATACTACTGTGAAACAATAGCAAGGCAGGTTTATAAGGGTGAAACTCTTCAGACGTCTGGTTCCTATCACCACCACTGTGAAGAAGTCTTACTCAGTAATTTTCTCTAAAACAAAACTTTGAAAAAATGGTGAAATTCTTATTTAAAGAAGGTGTTTCCTTTCCACCACCATGTATTTTGTGATTTGGTCACAATTAGACCTGATTACTCTTCTAATATGAGAAACAGCTCGCTCTGTTCAGGATGCTATACAGAGGAGTACAGATGTGGCGTCATGGGTGGTCTGTGCTGTGTAGCGTAGTGTGTTCTTTTGCTGTTTATTTTAATGCTAATGTAACGTTATGCTCTGCCCTTTTGATACAATCTATATAGATATGGTCACAGTCTACAGCAACTCAAAGCTCTGTCTAAGGCAAATGTCTTTTTTCTGTTGTCTTTTTTTCCTTTCTGTCTATTTTCATGTTTGACTGAGCCCAGGCCTCTGAGTCTGAACCCTGAGTGCTGCCAGTGTTATATGGGTCATTCTACAGAAACGTCCATTTTTGTGTCCCCAGTGTTTACAGATATATAACACTTGAAAAACATGTCAGGTTTATAATTTTTTTACATTTTCAAATAAAACAATACATTATTTTAACAATTACACCTTCTTGAGCCTCAATTTAGCAATATTGTTTTTTAGATAAATCATATAGAATTCCAGGCACCACAGAACTGCTTGTCCCCACAGTCATGTGTAAAGGCTGAGGCCATATTTTGAGGCAAAAATGTGTATTTCTGCAATTCTAACTACAATAATCTATACATGACTATGGAATATATAAATTAAATGACATAAAGCAAACAAATGCCAAATAAATATTCTAAAATATATAATGAAAGCTGTGGTCCCCAGGAGTCGTGTCACTGGTGTTACCGCGTAACAGAAAATCTCTTATTTTGAAATAAAAATCACACCCTTTTAAAAAATCACTTCCTTTTACCTGTTTTCTGAGGATCTATGAAGAAAAGCACATGGTGAGTCCACAGTGTCTTTCAGTTATCAGAGATTTTCTCAGAAGCTTTTAGTTGACGTCACTGGTGTGACCGACTTTATTCTGAGGTCACTGTGAAAAAATAGAATGCAAATGGATTAAATTACATATTTTAGTGGATATTCCATGATGGACAATATGTGGTTTGATGCTCTGTTTTGTAAAATGCATTTTTCATTAAAAATGTCTCTGGTGTTACCTTTCTTATGTGTAACACCAGTGACGATCAGTAACACCAGTGACTCCCATGGATAGATTAAAAAAAGTGGACATTTCTCTAGAATGACCCATAAATTGGGGACAAAAAAACTGAATGACTTTGTAGCCCGACATAAAACTAAAATGCAAGACAGATACCTCATAGTTCTGCTGGCCCTCAGTTCAGCTCATTTCATCTAGATGAGTTCAGATCTGACATCACCTTTAGACCATGTAGTGCAAAATAAAGGGTAATAGAAAACCAAATGTTTCTCACATTTTTTAAATAAATAAATAAATAAGATGTTGTCCTCCATACAGTGCATGGTTGTTTCCTTGACTGGGTGCCATTTGTGTCCCACTGATGTCATATTTATAAATATGATTGTAAAGTAAAGCTAAAAGACACACACAGGTAAAATATCCTCCACAAAAACCTATGTAAATGTTTCAGATAAATGACTTAAACATTAATAAAATCTAATCTACAACATTTATGGCTGTCTCAACTTACTGTAACTATACTGCCCCTTGGAATATAACCATTAAAATACATACATACATCATCTAAACCGCTTATCCTTCTGGATCGTGGTGGGGTATAACCATTAAAATATTTTACAAAAATCTTACTATTTTTGCATTAATGTGTGAATCTATTTAACGTCTTTCTTGAAACATCTCTTTATCATGAGTGATCTTATAGGTACATTTTTAAAGTCCCTCAACATTCATTCAGCCCTGTAACCTGAAGATATTCACCTCTATTTAAATATCTAGGATATTCCACAACTCATATTTTCAACAGGAATTTGCATGATCTGAACTTCTTAAAGACCATTAAAAGAAAAAGTACATTTTATATGTCTTTTTTTTAATTTTATATCATATTGTTACATTGACTGACAAGATAGCTGCAAAAGTTCAACCCTGTTTCTTGAAAATACATTATTAATTTAAAAAACACATTTTAAGTAAATCTTTACCATGTCCATATTGTCCCCATGGAATTAGCATTAAAACTAGTTCACCACACTTTCTGTATTTGATGATTCTGTGCTAAAAACCCTTCTACTTTCAACCCTAAATGGCACCCGAACCACTGAATCACCCACTTATACATTTTCAATTCACCATATCTGTGATGTCACAACCATGAGCACATTTACATATAACTGTCATTCAGCCCAGAGCAGTCTAGCCTGCCCATTCACATTGAGTGTTATTAATGTAGACAGTCTGTAGCAGAGTGACTGGAGAAGTGACTGCAAAGGATGTGGGGGAAAGAGTAAATGTGCTGTTTAGTGTGTCATTGCACAGCTTTCCAGAGGGTCCAGACATCCAAACGGAGTGGATGAAGATTAGTTTAGGATAGGATTTCAGTCTAAGCTTAACAACTTGTTCCATATATTTGAGCTGCTTTATGAATGAGGCACAATGTAAAGCCCATGTGTCAAACAAAAGAGATCAGGCCACCCACACAATCCTGTCCGGCCCGCAAAAGTATTTTAATTTTCTATTAATATTAGCCTGTTTCACAATGTGCTGCACTACAGTCCCCAGCATGCACTGCTAGGTAATGTGCTCTGACTCTCCTACCCCAACAACAGTCTATGGGACAGCAGTAACATCTCAGTTCTACACAATTCTACACAGTTCCACACCAGTCATATCACCAAAATGCATTTCACCTTCAGTTCAACCAACATAAACACTTAATGTCAGCTCAGCAGCTCAGAAACTGAGCCCAAGTCTTAATGAACTTGCAGCAAAGAAAGGATGGCACGTAGGTTTAAAAGACTGAACACCTGGGGACATTTAAACTTTGAATTATTCAAGTATCCATGCAATATTTCAAGGTCTACTACAAATGTCTGTATTTTACTGTTGAAGTTTTTGCATATTTTGAATAAACAAAGTCCAGTTCAGGTTACAGCACAACGTTAATTAAAAATGAAATAAAAACATTACTTTCTCTGGCTCACAGATTTGAGGAGATTTTTAAATGTGGCCCTGTTACTGGTTGAGTTTGACACCCCTGATATAAGGCAACCAGCCAAAATGGAGGCCATTTACGTATTGTTAGAAATCAGCTTGGGCCAAAAATACATGAGTGAAAACATCCAAAACACTCCATGCATTTGATAGATTTAACTCCTTTAACAAAAACAGGTTTTAGGATGAGTAAAATGAATGATAATGCAGAAGCACAGAGTTAATGGGAACGATAAAAGTTGACAAATGATGAAAATATGGCAAAAAGAGCGAGCTGTTGGTCTGAGAAACTTCTCTCTCTTCAAGATTCAGAGCGTGGAGTCTGATACAGATCCCCGGCTTCTTGTTTACTCATTTTCATGATTTACTTCTAGCTGTTATCTATACTTTTTGTGATGTTTTTACTATAAACTTGCAGAGAAAGATTGATGTCGGCCTTTTCCTTTGAGAGATTTTTGAA